CAATCTTGGGATCATTAGCCGTAAACGCGTTAGGCGAACGTTTTATTGGTTTAATTGTGCTTTGAATAGATGAAAAAGGCCAGGTACCCTTTTTCGAGGAGAACAGAAAGAATGAAAAAAGAATGGAAAATCGACTCTTTGAAGAGGAAATGCGACCCTGGGTAACTGTCATTTCATACCTATTTAAAACGAACTTTATTTTAATACCTATTTAAAAACAATAAATTTGTCCATCTGTAATATTTATGCACCAAACGTTCTCGTAGGTCAGCAAAAATTTGCCCAAACTTTGAAAGAGTCATTAATGTCAAAATCATCGTTGTCAAATCTGATCATAGGTGGTGACTGGAATGCTACACTCCAGACTATCAACAAAAGAAAGAAGCATACCGCCGTCATATTATTTCGATGATGAAAGAATTGATCTGACAGATGTCGTCAGGAAAAAAAAATACAAATAAAAAGAGCTTTACTTATGAATCAGTCGCACAAAAGTTAAAATCACGGATTGAGTTTTTTTGGTTGCCAAATCTATCGCCTGTCAAGTCACTGAAGTGGATACAAAAACTTCAATAGCCCTGGACCATAAAGCTGTTAAATTACGCCTCAGCCTCATAAATAGCAAGCACGGTCCAGGCCTTTGGAAATTCAATAATTTGTTATTGAAAGATAAAACCTATGTTAGTTTGATAACAGACAGCGATCCTGACATTATCCAAAAATACTCAAATATCAAGGACCCTAAACTAAAATGGGAACTCATCAAAATGGAAATTTGAGGTATCACTATCCCTTATACAAAAAACAGGGTAGGGAAGTACGGGAAATTGAAATGAGCTTGAGAAGCGCTTGGAAACTCTAGACGGGAAAATTTACAGTGGTGAAGAAACTTCAGAATCCGAGGAAAAAGAATACGAACATTTGAAAATTGGTCTTCGTCGTATCTATGGAAAAAGGGCCGAGGGTGCAATTTTTCGCTCAAAAGTACGGTGGATCCAGGAAGGCAAAAAGCTAACAAAATACTTCTTTAATCTGGAAAAGAAGAATTTCAATAAGAAGGTCATTTCATAGCTCAGAATGGCTGACGGCCACGTAACTGTCAATGAGAGTCAAATTATGGAGGAAGTAACACTTTTTTATGAAAACCTGTATACTTCAACCAATAATGGTACAAACGAGGACTTCCAAGAGTTTACAACCAACATAAATCAACAAATACCAAAGCTATCAAGAGAACAATTTAATGAAATCGAAGGAAAATTAACCTTACACAAATGATGAGCAGCTCTAAAATTAATGGGGACTGGAAAGTCTCCAGTTGAAGATGGATTTACCGTTGAGTTTTATAAGTGTTTTTTCGACATTGTAGGAAATGATCTCCTAAACAGCCTTAAGGCAGCGTATGGAAATGGTGAGATGTCTATCTCTCAACGTAGGGGAGTAATAACAATGATCCCAAGAGAAAATTCCGACTTACGCGAGTTATCAAATTGGCGACATATACCTTTGTTAAATGCAGACTATAAAATTGCATCAAAAGCCATCGCATTAAGAATAGAAAAATTTCTTTCGTACGTAATTAACAGCAATCAGACAGGCTTCATGAAAGACAGATACATTGGCAAAATATTAGATTAATTAATGATATAATGGAACAAACGGAACAACAAGATATCCCCGGTATACTTCTTTTATTGGACTTTAGGAAAGCCTTTGATACAATAGAATGGAACTTCATCCAGCAAACTCTAAGTCTTTTCAACTTTGGACCTTGGTTAAAACAGTGGATTAAGACGCTCTATACGAATTCCGAATGTGCAGTCTTGCATAATGGATTCACAACATAATTTTTTTTAAAGTATCAAGGGCAGTTAGACAAGGTTGCCCTCCCTCCCCGTATCTATTTATCTAGGGGTGGAAATATTGGCTCCTGAGATAAGGAAAGATAACAAAGTAGAGGGGATTAAGCTATTGCAGACAGAACACAAGGTCAGTCAATTCGCAGATGACACCACGCTATTTCTAAGTAACTTAAATTCGGTACAAAACTCGATAATACTGTTTGATCAATTCGGGAGTATCCCGGGTCTTTCGCTAAATGTTGAAAAGACAAAAGCGATATGGTTAGGCCCCTGGAGATTTAATAACTCCAAGCCTTTGGACCAAAGTGGACAGCTGATCCAGTAAGAGCCCCGAGAACTTTTATCTCTTGTAATGAGAAAGAAAACAAAAAGAAAAAAATAGACCGGAAAATTGACAACCTGAAAACAAAATTGGATATTTGGAGGGTCCGTGGCCTGTCCCTACTTGGTAAATGCCTCATTGTGAAATGTTTGGGTATTTCTCATCTTATATACACGGCCTCGATGCTCACAATTCCTAATACCTACATTCCCGCGATTAAGAGTGCTATCTTCAATTTTATGTGGAATAACAAACAAGACAAAATAAAACGGGCTGTTATGTACCGAGATTATTCCAAAGGTGGTTTATGTGCTCCGAACATCGAAATCCTGTTCAAGTCTTGAAATTTAGCTTGGACCTTTAAACTTTTGACAGTCGATCCTCACTCGCCTGAGACTTATTTGAAAAGTTTAGCGGTTTCAACTTTCTCCTTTTCTGTAACTATGACAATGAGCTTTTAGCGAAATCCGGCCTTCCACTTTTTTTCCAGCAAATGCTGATTAACTTTCTTGAACTAAAGACCCTATACAGACCCAACTACTTGTCAGACCTGCTTTTGTTTAACAACAAGGAAATTAAAATCGATGGCAATTCAATATTCTACTCAAATTGGTCAGAAAAGGCGGTCTTGTCAATTCAGGATCTTCTCGATTGTAATGGAAAGTTCTTATCATTTCAAACATTCCAACAAAGATATAACATAAAATGTAATTTTTGAAATTATCTTCAACTTCTGTCAGCGATGCCAAAATATCAACTTGAGAAGGTGAGAATCGTATCTCCTGTTGACATGCATAATTTCTCAGGTAGCACTTCCTACAAAGTCTCTGGCTCCATTGTCACAGATTTAAAGAAAATTAATAGCAAAGATTACTACCAGCTGTACGTTAATGCGACCAAAATCGAACCCACCGGTCAAAAGAAATGGCTAAAAGATCTTAACCTGAAAAATTTTAATTGGAACCTAGCCTTCACTCAGGTAAGCAAAACATGCAAAGAAAATAAACTTAGTCACCCGGAAAGAGTTATATGCCTGTGTAATTGAAAGAGACAGTAAAAGTCTTCATTGTAATGAATCCGACTCCATTCTGCATTCCTTTGTTGATTGTGAAGAGGCTATGTCCTTCTTTGATAAAGTTATTTCCTGGTTTAACAAAACAAACAATGCGAAAAAAAAATACTACCTAAATTCAACTATTGCTTACTCTTCGCCAAATACTTCTTATATTGTCAAAAACTAAGTTAAAAAAAGTGTGACTTTAATGAATTTATGAACAAATTACTTCCTAAACTTCGCGTTGAAAATTTACTATAATTTGTACAGTATAACTAGTGAATGCTGCTCTAGCCTTAAACTAATAGTGTAAATAGCATCAATTAATTAGGGTGAACAAAGTAAATAATATCCTATAACAAAGTTTCGTAAGTAATGTAACTAATCAATCTTTTGTTTTAGTAAGGAATTAAGTTAAGTAATTGTAAGTGCAAGAAAAAAAATTGAACAAGTTTATAGACGTAAGTACATGTATGTTATTTGCCGGCTGGGAGATCCATATGGTGAAAAACTGTGGCCGAGGTCTTGAAAATGCTGCCCGAGGCCGTAGGCTGAAACATTTTCACTTGCGTAATGATAAAGTTGATTTAAAAGGCTTCCAAACAAAGTTTGAATCATTATTTTTACAAGTATCTGTCACAATCTGACACCTGTCAATTAGAGAGCGCGTAAGAAAAAAAAAGCGCAAGAAGATTTGAAAAACAACGGAACTAGTTTGGCAAGGACTGTCACAACAATGTTTTCTTCAAAAACAACCAATGATATAACGGAAAGTATTATTCACTCTCATTATTCACTCTCGTTTTTTCTTCAAAAACAACCAATGATATAACGGAAAGTATTATTCACTCTCATCGACGATTCATTCATGTACGAAGATTTACCTCTGTTCATTAAGTAAACGGCCAGGAATGTAATTGTGGGTAAATTCAAATTTTTTATTTTGAAGTTGTGAGAGTTTGCTCGTTTGTTTGCTGCAACGGCGTGTGTAAATCTGGTCTTTCCTCCACAAAAACTAAATTCGAACGGCACACTTCAACGAGACACATGGGGACAATGCGGCCTTTTCTCAATAAATTTCTTCAGTTTCTGTTCTGCAATTTATGGTCCAAATGTCCAAATTGAACGGACTTGGAAAGACTCACCGAAAGCGTATATTTATTGTCGAACTGAAATTAAAACTTCGCTCGCTCTTTCACTACGAACAAATTGTTTGAGAAAATTCAGATATTAAATGAATGAAAGTTCCTTTGTTCAGTTTACCTGTAACCAAATACCTCACGTTTTAACTTTCTAGGTACTTTTTGTGAACGATTAAAATCAGTTGCAGACGGTTTTTAGGCCGCTGGTCAACCAACGTAATGACACTATTACTCATACAAATACATTCTGAGACCAGTATTTTTTTGTCAACCAAAGTAATTTGAGAGAGAGAAAAGAGAGGATTCATAAGTCGGCTTGAGGTAGTGACCGATGTGTTTGCATAAAAATACTGCCCAGCCGGTAGAACGAGGTATATTTATGAAAAATGGCAACGAAAGTTGAGATGTACTCGGCGACTCACGAAAGCGTTACCGTGGCCCGTGGGCAGAGATAGGAAAATACTGACCGGGTAAAGAACCAATCAGATTGCAAGATTCGTTACCGTGCCCTCTAAAAAAAAAAAAAATTAGTTATATTTTTTTTGTGTATGTGTATCAAGCAAATATCATGTAAGTAATGTAAATTCTCCCGTTGATAGTGTAAATGTAAGTAGCCATTC